TGGGTTTGTTGGCCTGTAATCACTCTAGTGGCTGTGTTTGTTGGCCTGTAATCACTCTAGTGGCTGGGTTTGTTGGCCTGTTATCACTCTAGTGACTTGGTTTGTTGGCTTGTAATCACTCTAGTGGCTGGATTTTTGTTGGCCTGTAATCACTCTAGTGGCTAGGTTTGTTGGCCTGTAATCACTCTAGTGGCTAGGTTTGTTGGCCTGTAATCACTCTAGTGGCAGGGTTTGTTGGCCTGTAATCACTCTAGTGGCTAGGTTTGTTGGCCTGTAATCACTGTAGTGGCTGGGTTTGTTGGCTTGTAATCACTCTAGTAGCTGGGTTTGTTGGCTTGTAATCACTCTAGTGGCTGGATTTTTGTTGGCCTGTAATCACTCTAGTGGCTGGGTTTGTGTGCTTGTAATCACTCTAGTGGCTGGGTTTGTTGGCCTGTAATCACTCTAGTGGCTGGGTTTGTTGGCTTGTAATAACTCTAGTGGCTGTGTTTGTTGGCTTGTAACCACTCTAGTGGCTGGGTTTGTGTGTTTGTAATCACTCTAGTGGCTGGGTTTGTGTGCTTGTAATCACTCTAGTGGCTGGGGTTGTTGGCCTGTAATCACTAGTGGCTGGGGATGTTGGCTTGTAATCACTCTAGTGGCTGGGGTTGTCGGCTTGTAATCACTCTAGTGGCTGGGTTTGTCGGCTTGTAATCACTCTAGTGGCTGGGTATGTTGGCCTGTAATCATTCTAGTGGCTGGGTTTGTTGGCCTGTAATCACTCTAGTGGCTGGGGTTGTTGGGTTATAATCACTCTAGTGGCTGGGGATGTTGGCCTGTAATCATTCTAGTGGCTGGGTTTGTTGTCCTGTAATCACTCTAGTGGCTGGGTTTGTTGGCTTGTAACCACTCTTGTGGCTGGGTTTGTTGGCCTGTAATCACTCTAGTGGCGGGGTTGGTTGGCCTGTAATCACTCTAGTGGCTGGGTTTGTTGGCTTGTAATCACTCTAGTGGCTGGGTTTGTTGGCTTGTAACCACTCTTGTGGCTGGGTTTGTTGGCCTGTAATCACTCTAGTGGCAGGGTTTGTTGGCCTGTAATCACTCTAGTGGCTGGGGTTGTTGGCTTGTAACCACTCTTGTGGCTGGGGTTGTTGGCCTGTAATCACTCTAGTGGCTGGGGTTGTTGGCCTGTAACCACTCTAGTGGCTTGGTTTGTTGGCTTGTAATCACTCTAGTGGCTGGGTTTGTTGGTTTATAATCACTCTAGTGGCTGAGTATGTTGTCTTGTAATCACTCTAGTGGCTGGGTTTGTTGGCCTGTAATCACTCTAGTGACTGGGTTTGTTGGCCTGTAAACACTCTAGTGGCTGGGTAGGTTGGCTTGTAATCACTCTAGTGGCTGGGAATGTTGGCCTGTAATCACTCTAGTGGCTGTGGTTTTTGGCCTGTAATCACTCTTGTGGCTGGGTTTGTTGGCCTGTAACCACTCCAGTGGCTTGGTTTGTTGGCTTGTAATCACTCTAGTAGCTGGGTTTGTTGGCTTGTAACCACTCTAGTGGCTTGGTTTGTTGGCTTGTAATCACTAGTGGCTGGGTATGTTGGCTTGTAATCACTCTTGTGGCTGGGTTTGTTGGCCTGTGAACACTCTAGTGGCTGGGGGTGTTGGCTTGTAATCACTCTTGTGGCTGGGTTTGTTGGCCTGTTATCACTCTAGTGGCTGGGTTTGGTGGCCTGGTATCACTCTAGTGGCTGGGTATGTTGGCTTGTAATCACCCTAGTGACTGGGTATGTTGGCCTGTAATCACTCTTGTGGCTGGGTTTGTTGGCCTGTGATCACTCTAGTGGCTGGGTTTCTTTACAATTTTTCACAAAACAACACCTAAATGTTTGCATGTGACATGTTTTTTTACCTTTGTCATTATCATTTTTATCTGCCCAAGATTAATGTCACTAATACTAAAAACATAATTTAAAGAAAATGGATTGATCATTTTAAAGGTCAAGCAGGGGACAAGGTACCTGGTATAGTGAGCCTTGCTTACCTTCTCTAGTTGCAAGTATTTTTTTCTTATTGTATTACAGGGCTCCGAGTGTGACACTATCACCTTTGTAGTGGGAAACTGTAAGAATCAGAACTGGTCACATGTGTACACTGCAGTCACCAGGGGGCGCAGTTCAGTCAACATTGTCGGCCAGGAGGCATGTCTGCAAATGTCAGTCAAAAAAGACCCAATCCATAGGATGACAGGACTCTCCCATCAGCTAAATAATATCATATCTGTAAGTATTAAATATGAAGTTTTTTGCTAACCTGACCAGATGGGCTAAGTGAGCTTATACCATGCTCCACATCTCTTCTACTATCAGCTTTACCTTTAAAAAACACTACAAGTCCAGAACAGTTGAAGGGTATTTTTTACCAAATTTTGTCAGTAGCATTGTTCAGAGAAACCTTGTATAAATGTTGGGTGTTGGTTGCCCTCGGGCCAGTGGTCTGGAGCATCAGTTTTTGTGACCCCAACTCGAAGGGTGGAGCCCCAATTGAAGAATTTCAGGTGTGCAGCTATACTACTTGAAAATTACCCATATACCAATTCTATAACCACACTCCGGTACAGGAGCTTTCAAATCTATTGTGAGAATGGGTATTAGCAGAAATTGAATTTAGTTACTTTTGTATGTAAGATTGAAGGGTGACTGATAGTTTTACCAGATTCTTTCAGGGAACTACAACACAGATATTAGGAATTTTACCCAATTATGAAAGGGCACATCAAGTCAAAATGAACATAATAAAATTCACATTTACACAAAAAACAAGGAACCTGGAATAGTCTTCTAGCATACATGGTAAAGGTACCAACAACCACAATGTTTTTATTTAGATGAATATTGGAAAACCCAAAGTAAAAACAGACATATTTTTAAGACACTTAAAAATTATGCATTGAGATGACGACAATCCCATTAGAATGATTCTACGTATGTATCATTGTATACACACATAGGAGTAAAGAGATGAATACATCCATGCTACTACAAGTAGCTTAGGGGTCAAGCCCCACCCTTGGGATTAGTCCTGTTTCATATCTTGAAAATGGTCAAGATCCCCAGCATAAAACTATACTTTTGCTGGGCATTAAGAGATTAATAAAACCATGCCACTGGGATCAGCCAAGGGGGAACAGTGCCATTCAAGACTTCGTTCTGGGTAAAAACATGGAATCTGTAGAGATCCTCACCCCATAACCATCGATAAAATTGCTAGGTAGAAAGGTGGAGACCATCAGGGGAAATTGATGTAAATGTTTGAAAGACTACTCCTTTATTACAGAAATGGATTAAATAATTCAGTTTACAGACTTAAAAGTGTGAGATAAGAAGGTATGGCCACAGTCTTGGCAGAAGGGTCCAGAAGGTACTGGTATATTAGACCTACGAAGAAATGTTTGGCTGTTCTCAGCTTATGGTTATTGTACTCTTGATAGACATGTACCATATTCAATATATCTTAAACTTAAGAAAGTTGGGCTATTAAATCCCCTGGGCCTTTTTCTTTTGTAGTACTCTTGACTGGGTGTTCTCTGAGTGCCAACATATTTACCAACAATAGGAAGGTGTTGTTTTATGTAAAATCTTCTAAACACTGAAAAGTGCCTCCTTATATTTTTGAAGAAAAAAATTAATAAGTTAAAAAAAACAAAAACATTTGAAATAACAGTGAAATGTTCCTTTATCTGTGATAAATTTATAGTCCGTAACCAACTTACCATTCCTTTATCTGTGATAAATTTATAGTCCGTAACCAACTTACCATTCCTTTATCTGTGATAAATTTATAGTCTGCAACCAACTTACCATTCCTAGCTTTATCTGTGATAAATATATAGTCCGTAACCAACTTACCATTCCTTTATCTGTGATAAATTTATGTCCGTTACCAACTTACCATTCTTTCATCTGTGATAAATTTATAGTCTGTAACCAACTTACCATTCCTTTATCTGTGATAAATTTATAGTCCCTAACCAACTTACCATTCCTTTATCTGTGATAAATTTATAGTCCGTAACCAACTTACCATTCCTTTATCTGTGATAAATTTATAGTCCGTAACCAACTTACCATTCCTTTATCTGTGATAAATTTATAGTCCGTAACCAACTTACCATTCCTTTATCTGTGATAAATTTATAGTCCCTTTAAAACAGTTTTGATTCAACAATTTTTCCAAACGTTATTGCCCTTTGTTCATTTCAGTATTAGATTTTTTGTCCGGAGATCTCCTCCTACATTTTTTGACGGATTTCTTTGAAACTTAGTAGGCTAAATTATCCTGATATGTTGTTGTTTCCTTGAAAAGAATTTTGATTCAACAATTTTTGCAAAAGTAATTGCCCTTTGTTTATTTCAGTATTTGATTTTTGTCTGGCAATCTCCTCCTACATTTTTCAACGGACCATTTTTCAACGGATCTCTTTGAAACTTGGTATGCATTTTAATCATGATATGAAGTTGTGTCTCCCTTAAAAGAATTTTGATTCGACGATTTTTGCAAAAGTAATTGCCCTTTATTCATTTCAGTATATGATTTTTTGTCCAGAAAATTTCTCCTACATTTTTTTTAGCATGTCAGCTAACCACTCTTAGAATGATGCAGATCTTATTTCAATGTAAGAGAGTATATAACGCTATATGGCATTTGATGGGCATATATTGTTCCGCCCCGTGTTTTGTGATAATGGCTGTAAAGACTTGGAATCACTTAACGAAAAATTAATAAAATGATGGTCTTTCTAAGAATATATTGCTATCTAAACATCNGCTATATGGCATTTGATGGGCGTATATTGTTCCGCCCCGTGTTTTGTGATAATGGCTGTAAAGACTTGGAATCACTTAACGAAAAATTAATAAAATGATGGTCTTTCTAAGAATATATTGCTATCTAAACATCCTGTAATGTGAACAGGTTCAGAGTGTCTGAGGATTAGATTACTCTTAGTAGTGTGTGGAAATTGTGTCGCATATAAAGACATCACATGTTCACAAAATCCTTAGTATATTGTCAACCAATGTTATGGAGTAAATAACTACCTTTCAGCTTTCTTCTCACTGAAATTTGTTGGATACACCATTTTTAATGTCAAAGCCAGAATGATCACATCTAATAGAAATGTTTTGAGGATAAAGGTAGTGTGTTTATCCTTGTGCATCTTTTGTGAAAGAATGTTGCATTATTACCAATATGGATAACTGTAGTTATACATAACAATTCTTTTATATGTAGTTTGGTGGGAATTAATCAATATTTGGGTGAGAAAGTGTTCTCACATCCAGAAATCTAGATGACGTAATGCTATAATACTTTTTTTTTTCAGGCTAATCTCAGAGATGAACTGTTTAAGATTGCTCGGAATGGGGGATCACCGGCAAAATCCAAGGTACAGGGGATGTTGATAAATGATTCTTTTCCTAATTTGGATGGTACTGAAAACCGTTTGACATATGACAGATCGTCTGTGTCAGCCCCCTACTTAAGTGGACATACTACACCCACGAAGAGTAGCAGAACGCCATCTCTCACTGGATACCTAACCAACCACAACGGTGACTCTGGAAGGTCAAGGTCGGAATGTTACCAAGGTTCCTCAGGGTCATCAAATCATCACATATTCAAAGGTCAAGGATCTGAAAGATACACACATTTTACGTCACATAACCCGTCGATACAGTCACCAGCAAAGTCTAGACTATTCACGGAGACAGCATCAAATGTGGCTACTCCGTCTGGATGTCATTGTCATGACACCAAAGCATGTATTTGTGGAGTCACACCAATTTCCTTGGTGTCTACAAAGCGACAGGTTGATGCTTCACCAGGCGATGCTGAAGGAGATGGTGAGACATGTTTATACGACAGTCAGTGGTCAGATGTAAGCAACACGGATGATCTGTTCACATCCGAGGACCAGATACTGCAGCACATCGGAGAGGATTCCGATGGCGACTCGGACGAGACTGTTGATATGTCGGGTGAACACTTTCATCAGTCAGATGAGGAATTTTTCACCGATATTAAACCAGTATCTGAATGCATGCTCATGTCCTCAGCATCCAGGTTGTCTGTCTCAGCTTCACTGTCGTCCCTAAGTGCACCTCTGAGAATAGGGCAAAACCTGATGAACCCCTCCCCAAAACGGCCTGCTGAAGCCGACGACAGTCTGGACAGTGTCACACCAGCTAAACAGATGTATTCCGCTACCTTGCATACAGGCATGACACCAGTATTTAAGAAACTGAAGTTCTAGGTTACATCACTCGATATTTAGTTTAAAAGTGGTCAACAATCTGCCAAAAGTTCACCATGTGATGACATCTCTGTATGTGTTATGCGTTAACTTTTAGAGGATGGAACGTTTTTGTAAAATAACAGACCTACTTTGAACATGAACAAATCTGGACTGTTTTGGAAGATGATGTGTACTTCCTAAGCTTATTTTCTCATTAAGGTAAAGAGGCCTTGTACAGGAACAGAACATTGTAGTTAAAGATTTTATTGTACATGCAAACTCACAAGCTGCAAGTCACAATAGGTTGTGGTAGTTAAGAATTATGTAGGTTGATATTCTCTTATTAAATTGATAGATTAAGTGGAAAATGGGATGTAATGTTTTTGTCCGCAACATTGTGTTGTCTCGGACAGTCTGACATTCCTGTTTAATATTGGTTGATATTTATGTGTGATCACCATATTTTGATTTTCACAGAATGTACAATACAAGACGTTATACTCCACATCTCCACAAAATAATGAGGGAGACCTTTTGTTCAGATTATTTGACCCCGTGATAACTCAACTTCTAGGCAAGGTTATTATATCAATGCTCTTAGCTGGACATTTAATGTGCCAGAATATGTTTCTTGTGAAAATATTGATATTTTTGAAAAATTAAAAGGGACAGATGTAGATTATTGATGCTTAGGACTCCTTCCTAAATGTTCACATGAAGCATTTGTTATATTTGCTGTTGAAAGTATATGTGTAAAGAAACTTGAGAAAAAATGTAAAACTTTGGATATGATCATATCTGAAGTAGACAAGAACTGTTTTTTGTAATTTGATGGTGTATGAGGTAGCAAATGCATTGAAATTTTACCGTATAGCCATGTGTTCATTAAAAGCATTACTATTTTACATGCAATTTATCAGTGCAATGTTTAAATTTCTTTTAATGTATGAATGTGTAGTTATTGTGAATAAAAATTTTAAACGTTTAGTTTTTTCCTTTTTTTGTACTTGCAAAATTTTTATGTACAATTTCCATGTTGAGGATGAATTTAGTTTCACAGGAGGTAAATATCAACGGTGCTCTAGGATCATCAGCATCCGCAGTGTTTGCAAGAAAGAATCATGTAAGATTTTACCAAGCATTTGCTACTAATTTCTGCAGTACATGTATATATCTAATATATGTAAAAGGTGTTCATGATCATGTAGATGTACAATTATTGAGTTAAATGATTTTTTACATTCCCAACCTAAATTGATTGAAACAGTATACACTTCATAAACAATACACAGTAAGGTCTATGAAGCATTACAGTGGTCGCTTTTTGGTGTGTTTTTTAAGAAAGTCTTCCAGCGCCGCATGATAGCTCATCAGATACTATTGTTGTCAAATACAGTATTGTTCACATTATTGTGTCTTTGAACGTGGGGCTGCAGGGACTCGCCTTTTTACAGATAAGCTGGAGTATTTTAAGTGCACTTGCCTAATGTGCCTTGTGTTCATTTGTTATGTTAGACTGTATGAGCTCTTTCTGGTACATGTTAATCAAAGTTTCTATATTATGACACGTTCTGTTGTTATTAAGCTGCTTTATGTTATAATGTAACAGCTGTTGTGTTCACTTGTTTGTTTTGTACTGCTTTACAATCCCAGTCATTTAGGGCTAAACCACATTTTTGCCACAGAAGTTTTTAATATTAGTATAAGTAGGTGCCTTGTAAACATTTTTATCATTGTTGATTTTATTTGTATGTATTTTTGAAATTAAATGCAAATTAATGTGAAATAATATACAAAATAAATATTTTCTATGTACACAGATTCCTTGGAGGTTTTTTAGGTCACCTGAGCTTTAGTAAAATTTCCATGTTAACAGATTTTGAAATAAGTAATGTCATATTGTAGGGTGTAATTAGACAATACTTCGATTTTCATTCAACTAAGCTTTTATAAACCTAGAAACCAATTTTTAACAGTTTATGAAAACTACACCATAGAATATGATAATCTAGCTGTACCATTTCTTAGGACCGCAGGGGTCAGATCAACCTCATTCAATTAAGAAATGTTTGTTCTTCCTCAATAATGTTTTTGACCAAATTTTGTACAATCCACTTGGGCAATTAGGGGGTATTAGCGTCTTAAAGCAAAATATTAGATAATTTTCCTGTTTGGGGCCCAGTCTTCCTAGCCCCAGTGGTCAAACCAGCCTCATTTATTTAGGAAATGCCTCTTTGCCCCCATAGGTACTGGTAAGATGGATAAAATATACCCTTCTCTGGTGTTAAGCAGGAGATGCGTTTTAAAGCAAATTGCGTTTTAAAGCAAATTTAGCTAAGTTCCCCTTCAGGGCCCCACGCCCCTGGCCTCAGGGGTCGAACCAACTTCACTTAGTTAAGAAGTGATTGCCCTCCCTTAGTGATGCTTCAGACTAAATTTGGTTGAAATCCTCTTTGGCGTTTAGGAGATAGGTTTTAAAGAAAAAGTGGACGATGGACGCTGTACCACGGCGTAAGCCCACTATGGTCCTTTAGACCAGGCGAGCTAAAAATGAGTTCAAACAAGAGGCCCAAGGGCCTTAGCGGTCACCTGAGTTATATCATAGGTACTGGTAGTTTTATTTTATCGTTTAGAAAAACAATACTTGTCATGTCATCAAAGGATAATAATTTATGTAATACACTCATACACCAAAGATGATTCTGACCAAGTTTGAATAATTTTCTGCTGAAAATGGATAAAATATACCCAAAAGTGTTATTTCCCTATATTAACTATAGTAAACTTAACCCCCTTTCCTGAAGGGGAAACGGATGGCTCAGGGGGTCCTGAAATTGACAATTTCAATAAAGCCATAGGTTTGGGGTAGGAATACCAATTTTACATTTTAAAACCATCTTCCTCCAAGGATAATTCTCCCAAAGTAGGAATAATTTCCTACAGAAAATTGTCAAAATATACCCAAAAGTGTTGTTTCCCTATATAAACTATAGTAAACTTTACCCCCTCCCCATCCATGCAGAGAAAATGACGATGAAAAGAAGATTTTTGAAATATTGGTTAATTTTCCCTTTAGGGCCAACCTGGGCCCTGGGGTTGGGGTAGGAATCCCAATTTTACAATTTTGTAGCCTCATCTACCAAGGATGATTCTGACCAAGTTTGAAAAAATTCCATCCCTTGGTTCTTGAGAAGAAGTTGAAAATGTAAAAAGTTAACGCACGACGATGGACAGAAAGTGATCGGAAAGCTCAGGTGACCTAAAAAGCCAAATATTAATATTATCATATTATATTGTAAATATTACATGTAACGAAATCACTGACCTATTTATCAGGGGTTCTTACCCCAGAGACTAAAATATGTAGCTTGCTCCTGCATGCACATTGAATAAAAATATTTATCCCGCCTCAGGCACAAATCCTGTAGTCCTATTGGTTAAAACGACGTCACATGATATCCAGTATATTTTCATATTAGGTCAGTAGAATCTCACATTAGGCGAGTACGAAAGAGTTATCGTTCTTTGCCCATAAGAGTGAACCTGTAACAAGATGGCGACCAAGCGGTTTGTGCAGACGACAGCCGATGAAATGTTAACAAAGCGGGTGAAAGTAAATGCTGACAACACTATCAAGGCTAATCAAAAGTCGGCGAGAATTTTAACGAAATATCTGACAGAAATGTGCCAAGATACCGCATTCGAGTCATTTGATGAGGTGAGACTTGCGGAAGTTCTGGGCCATTTTTTTTTTATCCAAAGGGCCTTCGACGGGATAAATTCGTTACACAGTTTGTTAGTGACCTAACAAACTGTGTAACTAATAATATTGGATCTTAAATGAGTTTTCATTTCATATAAGATTTTATGAAACGAGTCTTAGTTTTTATTTTTGCGAGCGTTGGCGAGCAAAAATCAAAAGTTCAGAGAGGAGTTTCATAAAAGCTCATATGAAATGAAAACAAATTGAAGATACTTTTTTATCACAAACTCAGAAAACTTACATTCTGACAGGTTTTAAAGACAAACTGTAGAGGGCTTAATCAAACGGAGACGGACATTTTGTTGCGCCATTCACAATTTATGACGTCTCGTCATTGTCCATATTAAGACGTTAGAATCAATATCCGACTGGCACAGCCAATAAATAACGCTCCACAGATTATAACACTAGCGACATTCACTGGATAACAGGCCAATCATGTGATCAATAAATATATAAAGAAAGGTCGAGACCTATGAGTTTGCCTCCTCACTTCACCCTGTAACCTTGTAATGGTCTCTCTTGGTCTACTTCCCTTACAATGGTAAATAACTCCATACATTGGCTGTAAGTTGGGCTCTCGTTTTGATGACATTTATATTTCCTTGACAGCAACATAAGTAGGGTAGGTGTGGGATTAACAGAGTAAAGCGGGTTCTACCTCGGCATTTCAAAATTCCCCCATTTTCCAAAAATGTACTCAAAATTTGGAACTGCGATACTGCAATATTTATATAAAGAGTACTTTAAAGGAAAATAACTCGTAACGTTTCATAACAAATGACAATGTAATTACATAGTTTTACTTGTGGTATCCTTTATCTTAATATCATAATGGATTTCATATCCCTAATTTATTCATAACCATAAGAAGGCGTAAATTGGCACCCTTTTTTTCTGTTTATCAAAACCCCAACACACGGGCAAGCCTGGGGATAAGATGTCATCTGTGTTAAGACAGCAAGAATCCAATTAAGCCGCTCAATATGCCTGGAAGAATTAGGAAGTCCTAAAACCTGGAACATACTTTCGGACAAAGTCCAATATAATGTCAAGATGACTTTAGAATTTGACAAAGGGGGAAAACTCTGGTTTGTTTTCCTACAAATACAACAACACCACTGTATTAAAATATTTACATTTATTTAGTTGAATCTTGTTGACATACAGTATAAAGCTGCTGCACAAAGATGATTATCAGAAATACAGGATGAAAAATGAATGATGAAATATTTTACTACAAAACGAAAATCTACACACATTTTGTCGGTGATCCATATAGATATATTATCAACATTACATTAGCAGTGCAGTTTTCATCTCTACATACAACTTCTGAAAAGTGATAAATGATGAATTGATGAACATACACAACAATTCTATGAATGAACATTTATCATATAAATACCGTCTCTTCCTATCCAAAAAGAGTCATAAAAAAGGGAAAATTGAAATCGAAGGGTAAGTAAATAATAAAAATATAATGGTTATCATATAAATATGTAAATGATAACTTAATTTTTCGAAATCCAATTTCATTTGAACAACTTTGAAATTGATCAGAAAGACAGCATGCAAACACTAGAAACTTTCATTTGTACAGCATTCGCTCCCTTTCGTCACCCTGGGAAGCTAACTACTACAACTCCACGCATCTTTAATTGAAATATACATTCTCCAATTATCGAATTCTATCAACCTTGTTTGATGCACTCTTTAATTTCTCTGTACAATAATCAGTAATTTTGTTGTGTATTCTCCATGTTACATGGTAACAAATCAGAAGACCTTCAATTCATTTTCTTTCGAAAAAAAAAAATGCGAGTAACTATTCATCATGAGCTGATGTAGAAAAATAAAAATGCTGAATCGACTGTAATGTGTATTATGGGATATATATTTTCTCTGTGGTCACATACATCACACAACAGTTGACAGAAGAAATGGCTCGCACAAAACTGAAGAAGTGGGAATTGACTGCAAAAAATGACTGGCAGTATCATTGTATATTACAAAATACCAACACTTTCCTGCTGAACAAATCAGCGAGTTTCTTGTCAGAATATACACTAGTAGCTTGCACGTAACATTTCCTTCATCTATTTTACAAACTTTGGGCGATGATGAACATATACACTGTACAACTTTTATGTGCACACACGGGAATGATGTTGCTACAACAACAAACTTTAATAATGATACATATACAATGAGGATGTAATAATATATTATTTACTATACACATACATGACGTATGAAAAACTTGGGCTTTAATATTTCTTTTCCAATAACAATGCAACTTTTCACCTTTTTTGAAGAAGTATTGTAATAATGATAATAGCGTAGATAATAACTATATGTAAAAAGTACTAGGAGTCGCTTTGAAAGCACTGGAACATGACGTCCGAGAGAATTTGAGCCACGACCTGGTCAAGAATCTGAGACATAACTAAGGACAGTAGCCTCTGCTGATGATGCCCAAATAAGCGTCTATTTTCCGTGTTGTACGACAGATGAAGCAGAATGTTTGCTGCACGACGAAGCATGTCCAAACTGGTGCCCATCATTTCGGGATTTTCCCGCAAGATGTTTATACCGTGAAGATTGACTACCTGCATGGCTTTCTGTTCTGCTGTTTCTAAGAAGTCTAGCAGTAGGGAGATGGTGGGATGCTGCAAAGCAATCGCCCTTACAGCACTATCATCCCCTTGAACCAACTCTGATAACAACACAATGGCAAACTCGAGAGTCACAGGCTCGCTGCGGTTAGCCAACATCTTTGCCAGGATGCTGAAAAGCTGAATGATACGATTGAACGGTGGGGTAGCCAACAGCAGGTCAACATTTGCAGCATGAATACAGAGTTTACACATGGCCTCGAGGACCAGTCGCTGAGGGGACAGGACGGATGAAGGTGTGGAAGGGAGGGGGTCTGTTGCACACGATGATGGACACACTGCCCAGTGAAGCAGACCATCCAGGATAGGCATACAGATCTCCTCGGGGTAGCCTGACAGACGAAGTTGTCCACTGATGTTGGCAAATATCACTAGTGTATTCTCCCTTAACATAGCGAGGTAGTTCCACCACCACTCCGCCTCGATATGACTCGAGTCCATCAAGTCCTCCAGCTCACTCTCGTCCCGATCAAATTTTTTGCGGGTCGTGTTGCGAGGTAGATGACGGTGATGTAGTTGTAACAGCTTACCAAATGTAAATAATAAACCAGCATGTTTTGACATTTGGGCATCGTTGCCTGGCACACACGATAAGCTACGGAATATGTTTGATATACAAATACAGCGTCGGCCAAGTTCATCTCGTGCGTCTGTAATAACATTAAGAGGCGGTTCATCACGCTGATAAGATTCATCCTCAAGTTCCACCTCCTCATGAGATCGTTTGCCACAACATTGGCCTGAAAGACTGTCCACATCACTTTCAGTTTTTACACATACACCCAATAGGTCATCCGACATCTCTGTTTTGATGTTTACCTTATTTTCTTCCATTTCCTCTTTCACACCCTCCTTGCTCGCATCTTGTCCTTCCTCTATTTTTTCGACAGGGACCTCCTCCTTCTCCTTTTTCACTTCCACCTCCATACCAGCTGGAGGATCTGAGGACTCTATGACCTTCTCCTCCAAATCACAAACTTTCTTTTTGATCTGTACATGCTTAAGAATGTTATTTCGCTTTTCTTGTTTGTTTTCTTTGCCTAACTTTTTCATATCCGTCGAACAATTCAGCACCTCAGGTTTATGAACATTTTTGTTGGAGATTTTCTCCTCCTCTAAAGTCTCATTCACCACAACCGCATCTTCAGTTTCTTTGCCCTTTTCACCACAGTCTTGAGATGGGCAACAACAACGATTCTCCTTTTCTTCGCCTTCCACATCCCCCTCCTCCGTTTCCTCGGGTAAACTCTCACATTCATCCTCTACCTTTAATTCTAAATCACTCATATCTTTCAATTTCATTGGAGGTCGAATGAAGAGGTTTTTGTACACCATATTCTCTTTTTCACTAGCAAAGAATGGAACGATATGACGAGATGTATCTCCACAGCCTAGTTGCCAGTGATCTTGCTGAAAGGAGAAACCTGAATATACATCCCAAGACTTGGGATCTGATGGTGCTAACTCGTCTGTTTCTACAAGTTTGACATTTAGTCCATTCCTCGTTGTCAAGGTGAAATCAGTCAACTTTTTGTCACTATACTTAGCACCATTACCAGCATTGTCAATCAAATCGGCAACTTTTTCCTCCTTTTCTTCCACCTCCTCTACCTGTTCTTGTTCCTCTTCCACTTCCATTTCCTCCTTAACATCCTCTATTTTAACAGATGCTAAGATGTCAAGTTTTTGCAGCGGTGTATCTATGGCATGTTTCTCCATCGAGACGAAAGGCTCCCCAAACATTTCAATAAGGCATCGTCTGAAATGTTCCAGTAGTACTTCAAGCAGCCCCGGTAGGTGGTTCAGACTGAAGTAAGACACGGTTGAGTCATCATACAGAAGGATGTTAAGCGTGTCCAGAGCCCATGTACTCTCTGCCAGTAAACCAGATTTTAAAGCCATCATGAGTCGCCACGCCTCTATCTGACCTACAAACAAAAATAAAGACATGACATTAGGTTCTACTTCTGATGAAAGAAATTACTTGGTTTTCCATCATAAAATATTTAATCAATAAAAAAAACAATTAAGGGTAACAGGGCTACAACTGTATGTAAAAGGTACAATTAAGGGTAACAGGGCTACAACTGTTTATAAAAGGTACAAAGTGTTTGGGATGTTATCATAATGGCCATGATAATGCAATGCAAAATCAATAGTGTGCTCAAAGTGCTTCAATGAATAAGACATGCAATTCTTTAATAATGTCAAATTTAATGATGTGTTTATTTCACTAAAATATCCTTTGATCTTCAGACAAGCCAGGCCCATAAAGGAGAGAACACTGCCAAATTCAATACATGTTACACAACAGCAAGTGATATGGTAAATGCTCTTTCACTCCAAAGACAAATACTTGAAATATCCTTTTTTCTGGGTCAAATTTGAAATAGCTTTCCGCATTAGTTATTGTAATGAAAAACTATCCGAATTCTTCCATTACAATTTGGGATTCAAAAAATAGTGTTATTGTTTTTGACATTGACATCAAACTTGAGAACATTTACCATACCATATATATATATAAATATATTTTAGCAGATCAGTTAAATTTGTTTATATAAATCAGCACAATGACAAAAACACAGTTAAATTATTAATCTTACAGTACAGCTACTAGGATGAGTGGACAAGTACACAAAAGAATAAGACAGCAGAAGTCCAAGGTTTGTGAGAGCCAAACAAAGCGATGTTTATGTACACAATTAACAGGACACAAACTGAAAAGTAAAAATTGTGTGAGACAACTGGCACGACAAGATGAAAACTGAAAAGAGAGTTAGTCTGTACAACACCAAGGCAAAAGCATTCTTTGTGTACAATATAGAACACAACACGATCACAGGGCTCAAAATTCAACAACGATTCATGAATTATTTCTTTTAAAGATTACCAAAAAAAAGGAATGATAGAAGTGACATCTGAACCACAGGGAGTTTTCTAAACAAGACAAAATAACGAAGGAGTCTTGCCAGGATTTACAGACACATAACAACAGGAAATGGTTGTTTTTGTTTTCTGTTTTTAAACAATATTGATTTTAGACAAGGTAATCAGGTATCATAAACAACCCAGATACACTTGTAGAATATTTTTGATTTGCATAAAATGAAAGTCTTTGAATAAAATAAAATTTTGATGGAAAAATTTCAAGCCCTGCAGTTGAAACAAAAATAAAGCTCTATCTATCTACCACTGGGTTAAATAAGGATACCTTAAGTGTACTTGCTTGTTCCCAGGACCAAATTAAAATTCTTGGAATGCTTGAAGAAAATAGAAGACTGATTTAACAAAAGTAGCTCCACAGCATTTGCAGCACAGATTTACCTAGTTACCTCCCCCTGGATTCCTGAAGTGCAGTTGCTTTTTGCTTGTATTATTATCAACATATCTCATATTTTATGTGTCAACTTTTGGTTTTCTTTTCAAATTATTTCATGAAAACTTCCAATTTCATCAAATCAATAATCAACATTGATCTGCAACTTTTTTAACAAAATTTAACATGAAATTGTTTTATTGTGGCCAAAACATGATTTTTTCAATGGAAAAAGGTATGCTTCAAATATACTTACGAGAGTATGTTTCATCTACAAAGATCCAAACCGAATAGTTGCCCGCTTACTACAAATGGCCCCAAATTTTGTAAACCCAGCTCTTGAACTTGGAAAAGTAATTTTATTTGTAAGCAAACCACTTTCCATTTGGTAGTTACTCTGCGTTAATCTTTTTAAAAGGCATGTTGATAGGATACAAATATAAAACAAGCAGTTTGTCGTCGGAATAAAGGGTTCACCGATAAAGATGTCGGCAAGTCCTAGGAACCAGCAGCCTCCAATACGTCCCAAAATTAATAGTTCTTTTTTTAAACCCTTTGTCATATTCAATTTCTTTTTTAACCCAGTAATAATCTTAATAGGGAATTAATCATTCCTGGCAGAAAGAAGATTTCTACCATTGTAAATGTATCTTTATCAGCGATCCATTAAAGGTTATATCCATATACATTTTCCCTTCCTATTCCCATCACCCAAACATGCTGTATATATCCTCTACCATCAAAATTGGAATTCTCATTCGTTTTTTCTCAAGTATCTGATGACTTTTTTTTTCCTCAACTTTTATCTTTCCAATCTAATGTGCAATGCAAATGAAACATACTGTGTAAGCTTAGAAGAACACCTGACAAAATGTTATTCAAAAAGAGATAATGGTTTATTTCACCTGACCAAGCAAGTACACTTTACGGAAAAACTGTCATTGAAGTGCATCTCCTTTCAACCCCACATTTACATGTACATAGTCATGATTATTATAGTCTTGCAACAGATGTTGTCGCATTCAAACAAGGCCGCGACAAAACAAGTGAAATATATAATGATGAAAGTGAAATTCGGAGAATACAAGTTTCTACTTCGGCACTTTCTTTCACGCAATCAAAAAATTAACATAATCATTCTTCACAAAAGGAAGGATTCTGTTCAAGTTTTTCAAAGGAGAAGGCATCCACAAAGTAATTCTTTAAAGTACAAGAAAACAATGCAACACTACTACAAAATTTTCCTGTGATTCCATGCAGAATCATTACTTAATTATAGAAAATGTCAGAAATTTATGGTTTAATTTCTCACAAGAAAAGCTGTTTTTTCCTTGATCCACAAACTTGAAAAAAAATCTTATTTTTTATTGACAGAAACATAATGCAATCTTTCTGCAAAATTTTCTGTAAAGTTGAACATTATTATAACGCAAAAATATTAACAAGTGATGTTATTTAAAACAATTCAAAACAAAACTTTAAAGAATATGCATGATTTTCAGAAGGTTCCCTACAATCATTATTCCAAGAAGGAAAGTTTCCATTTAATACATTTGCATGTCATCCAATATTTCTCTTATTGAATAAGTTAACCACATGACCAGAGGAAGGTAGAGAAAATTTGGTGGTGATGCAACAATTCTACTACATCTAGGGCCCATTACCAAGCAGTTAATATAAGTGACTACTAATTGGAGAAAAAAAACACAGAGCATGAAATTTATTTGAGCAGGATAATCCTACTGGTGAAGTTTTAGTTTTTACATTTAGCATCGTTAACAATCTGAAATGCTGTCAGATGGCAATGCAAAATACAGATACATATGGAGAAGTCGTGAGGGGTGGTAGTAATCTATATATTATATACATGGTGAAAAATGCAAAGGGGAGCTAACTCTTCAGCTACTTTTCTTCTGCCAATGATTGATGGGATACTTGAGAGAATGATGCTTGATTAGTTATGGAACAATGTACAAACCAGACTGACCAACAACTACAGAGCTAAGGTCCACTACAGGAGTACATACCCACATCAGCTTTGTTCAGTCGCCGCCGCTTGGTCAGTGCAGGAGTGACCGCCTCGACACTGTCAGGTGGAAATGTAACCTCCTTCTTTGGAGCAAATGCCGGCATATGCTGCTTCTATAGGAACAGAATCGAGTTATATTTGATATAAACTGCTTCTATAGGAACAGAATAGAGTCATACTTGGTATTAACTATCTTATACTTCAGCAAATTGTTACTGCTATTGTTTCGTTCAGAAATTATACACTAGTTAAGTCTCTAATTTTACACAAGTCTCATAATTTTACTAGTGTATCATGTTCAAAATATGTATTAAAGAAACTTGCAGTAAGGTTTTATCAGAAAGCTATGAGCTGATGAATCTTAAAATACGACGAATCAATATCTTACCTGCACCTGCTTTGATGGAGACATCATGTACATGGACTTTTCCCTAGGGGGTGACATGTGATGTCCACTGCGACCCCCGTAGGGACTCTGCATGTAGGGCATGTTTGGCCCACCAGGACCCATCCCTGGGCCTCCAGGGTAGCCTGGCCCTGCATGCTGGTGAAATCGCTGAGACATTGGTGAAAACTGCATGTCTCGACGCCCATCTAAACGAAAGGAAAAACTTTCTTTTATAATCAATATGACTACAATCTGGTATCATTTGGATATCTTTTATCTTTATTATTTCCTTTTGCTCCCAAGTGTTTGTCAATATAGCAAGATTTCAGAAAAAACATGCAGTTGATAATTTCAAAAAACAATTTAATTGCTTTATAATAATGAAAATTGGGGGGTGGGGGGAAAAAAGTATCTTCATTTTTGTTACTTTATGTAAAAATACTTACAGTAGTAACATAACACAACTGTAAATACACTTCTACATAAATTATTGATTAGTACGACTAGTACATGTAAACAAAACCTGAAGTCTTTGGAAGGGATTCCTAACTACTATTTACCTTTGAGGGTTGCTAAAACACCTCATTAATTAGTCATAATGAAAGTCAATGATATTGAAATAAAAATATTGTTGAAGAATAACTCAAAGTTTTCTCAATACTTCGCTAGACTTCAGAATTAATTGAACATTTACAACACGAAAACTTTCAGTTTTATAGAAATACATACAAGTAAATCTGTTGTTAAAATTATAGTCCTAGATTATATTTGCTGCTATCACTATTCCATGCTTGTTCACATTTGGTGAATGCAACAAAGTAATTAAATTCATAACAGTTTGAAGTGATTTTTAATTATTAATGTAAAGTCTCATATCTGAAGTAGCTACTGACCATTGATCAAATGCTTAAAATGTCTGAAATAGCTAGCTAACTGATGTTTACTCGGGATTACCCAGAGGGTATGAACTATGAGATAGGTATGTATATATGCTTCTAATTAAAATGAATTCACTATTTTCAAAGATAATTATTCACAAAAAATTTATTGCACACCCCGATTTCAAAATTCTATTTCTGCACTCAAAAAATGTGCAAATTACAGAAGTTTGAAATATTAGAAAATATAACCTAAATTTTGACCAACAGTCACATGTTGCATCCAGCTAAAAATAAAACATATTTAGAGTAGCTCAAAGAAAACAAAGATTCCAAGATAAAAACAAGGGCGGTAAGAGCTGCATGCCCTGCAAAGTGATCGTGAAGGGCCATGAAGTGCTGGAGTATACAGACACAGGGGATACAGGGTAGTGCATACCAGGTGTCATTTGGTTATCGTATGGCGACATCTTGTTGTCCCGACTCGGCCGATGCTGGTAAGGGCTGGGGCCTGGACTAGGCCAATCACAGTAACCTGACTGGGGACTATAGCCTGCTGGCAAGATACGTACCATACTATAGTTTTCTGTATTTAACTTGACCCCTCCACAATGCCCAGTTAATGATACCCATCCCACCCTCGACTTATTAATACCCATCCCTTTTTCAACATTCTCTACTTCATAATTTCTCTTCCAAATTTCCCTCCTACTTCTATTCATGTATCTCTTTTTTTCCCTCTTTTAAGAAACCTCAATATATGATTCGATTTATTCAACATTACTCTAGTTGCTCTAAATAATCAATAATCTGATAATAAAAGAATTGTCAAAAAAATTGCTACAAATATTCATTATATATTATGTGAAGAACTGGGCAAATAATTAAGTTCAAATGTATTATTAAGAAATCAACAAAATTTTCACAAATGCTTGATTTTTGTTTTATACAACAATTCAAAAATTGAAAAAAATAGAAACATCTTCCTCAATGTGTATATTACATATAAGAAAATCTAATGTAATATCATTGGAGGGACCACAATTTTTTTCCAGCTGTGCAAATAAAAACAATTTGAAGCTATTGATAAGGTAGGGAAGTGCGAACAAACAGAAATGGGAAATAATAACAATCAATAAGGAAATAGTGGCATACACACCTTGACCCATATAGCCATCGTGAGGAGGGTACCGCTTATTTGGCGTACCATACATGCCACTAGGTGGCATTGACATCTCGCGTCCCATGGATGGCCTGGGTCCCTGGAACTGACCCTGTTGGTTGGGGTAGCCTGGGTATGGTTCTGGAACACCCATACCTGGCTTGCCCCCTGGATAGCCAGCTTGAGGTGACTGGTTAGCAGGATAGTTACTTGGGGGTCCACCAAACTGTTCTATGTGTCCCTGAGACCCTGGATGCGATGGCATCATTGGCTGTTGGCCACTGAAGCGTGACGAATACATTGGGTCTACTTGTGGGGGCTGGGGAGGAACCTGGGGAGGACCAGAAGGGTGATGGCTGTTCTGAGAAGAGGATGCGGCTGTTGATGGTTGTTGATGTTGGGATGAGGGAGAGACCGACGGCTGTGAGCTGACAGGAAGTTGTGGGGATGAAGATTGCACTGAAGGGGCTGTGGGAGAACCAAACCTGCAACATAGGAAGAGTTACATGATAAACACCTGTCCCCATGTGACATAGGGGTAGTTGACTCACCAAAACTTCCAAAAGGACAGTTGGGTTTTTTCTCTCTAATTATTACCTATATCATTCAAAGACTTTGTTTTAAGTGCTTATCAATATTAGACTTTATAACATTTTTGGTAAAAACACAATGATTTTTTTAACGATGTCAAACATTCATCTGAATTTTAAAGCACTATTTCATTGCGTACAGTTAGAGAATATTAACCTTTCAGGTTTGGTAAACTGATCACCAAATGGGAACTGCCTTCCTATGGACGAGACCGAGGTTGTATTTGTGTTAGTGCTGCTGAACTGACTGCTCATGATGGGCTCTGTTGACCGTGAACTGCTGGGAAAACTGTCTGTCCGCCTGAAGGATGATGGCTCACTAAATTGGGGTTCAAGGGGTGCAGGCCCACCACGCCCACCACTAACACCCTCAAAACTGTTTATACTGGCTGGGTTAGGCATGTTAAAACCCGGCATGTTTGGACGATTCATGTTGCTGTTGTTGCTGCTGCTACTGTTGAATGTATTGGTTGCGCTGCTGCTGGGCGGCTGATGGGGAGGTATTCCTGAGTAGGTTGGCATGGGGGAGTTTGTGGCACCTTGCCGGGGATATGGTCCATTGCGTGGCTCGTCAGCAAATGGGTCCTGACAAGTAACACTATCACTGTTGGCATTTGCGGGCATGCCTGTCATCATACCATTGTTCCCTGGCATGCCACTATTACCAGACATGCTGCCATTTCCAGGTGGCATGTTGCTGTTACCGGGCATACTACTGCTGCCAGGAATGCCACTGTTGTTACCTGGAATACCACTATTTCCTGGAATACCACTATTGCTGGACATGCCACTGCTACCAGGCATACCACTACTGTTTCCAGGCATACCACTATTACTGGACATACCACTGTTAACAGGCATTCCACCACTGCCAACAGGCATTCCACCACTGCCAACAGGCATTCCACCATTGCCAGGCATTCCACTGTTGTTATGCAAACCACTATTACCTGGCATACTATTTGGCATCCCACCATTTCCTGGCATGCCACTGTTACTGTGCATTCCACTGTTACTGTGTATACCACTGTTGCCTGGCATCCCCATATTGCCACCCATGGGTGGCATCATGTTGTTACCCATCATACCCCCGGGCCCGCCCGAGTTGGGTCCATGTCCATGCATGCCTGGCATCATGTTGTTAGAGTAGCCTCCCATCATGCCACTAGGCCCCATATTTCCTCCCATCATGCCTGGCTGCATGCTGTTGGGCATGTGGTTTGGTGGCATTCCCATGGAGTTGGGACCCATCATGTTGCCCATCATATTGCTGTTAGGGGGCAGCATGCCTGGTCCCATTGGTCCCATGCCATGGTCAGAGTTTTGCATGTAGTTGGGCCCCATGGAAGGTGGAAAACCCTCCATGCCCTGACTGTTGCTATTTGGAGTGCTTGGAGGTCGGAATGCATCCTGAGAGCCCTGGGAACCTGCTGTAATGTGAAAAGCAGAAATTACACACTGGACTGAAATACGCAACTTACAATAACCCTGCTATTATGGGACACATTAGACACTCTACTGCAATACAAGGGTTACAGCTATTGATGTTTTTCCTCAATGGTAAACCAACAGTAACAAATAATTCCCAATTCCAACCTCTTTGATGATCAATATCTAAGCAGCAAAATAATATCCTACAAAACTTTAGTGCCAAAACACTGCAAAAAGCAATTCCAATCCCTAGACATTGCTTTATATATTTCTCTTTTCCCTTACCTGGTGATGGTGCCCGGCGGTGCTTCTGTTCTCGTTTTTGCTGTAGTTGAGCTTCCATTTGAGCAAGAATGGGTGCCGGATCAGTGCCACCTCGGTCAAACTGGCACTCGTATGAGAAGAGGTATTTGATGTAGTTTTTCTTGAGTGTGAAAGCAGCACTAGCAGATGTGCCGATGTTCACCAGTCCGCATATCTCCTTCCATTTCTTTGTCTTCGTGACCTGTACAACAGGAATAAAACATTTCAACCAAGATGTCTTTTACTGGCAGTGCCACAGGAGACCTTTAAAAAGCAATATTATAGAAGATAATTTTTGACATTTAGAATTAATTTCACATTCACACGACACTCATCATTTTAACTATTGGTATTTTGATCTAAATTCAGTTTTAAATTATTGACAAGATCACATGAATAGCTTTCAATGGTTGATCAGATTGAAATAACCTTATCCATTGGTCTCTGTGGACTAATCTCCGAGTGCCTAACCTGAAAGTGATCATAATTTCCAACACATTTTCTATCTCTACTAATGATTTTTTTCTCCTTATCAGTCTCGACACATAATCCTCAGTTCCTAAAAAAAATACTTATGACACGTCGGGAACAATATATAGTATTGATAAGTTTGACGGATGTTGTTGGGAACTGTAGACAGTAAATTCTGTCTTGCATTGATTACAGATGATGTGGAAAATGTTATGAATACCATCTCCTTGATGATGTTTCTTATTTTTTAGGACTCAATAATATCATTAAATGTGTTGATTAGAATAGTGAATGCTTCATCCACTGGTCACTGCGGACCAATGTCTGAAACTCTAGCCTGAAAGGGTCATCATTTTCAACAATTTTCACGATGCAAAATACTACTTCTGATAAAACAGAAATTGACAAAATGTGTGGCATTATTTAATGTGTTGATCAGAGCTGTGTATGCCTCATCCACTGGTCACTGTCGACCAATGTCCGAAACTCTAGCCTGAAAGGGTCATCATTTTCATCACATCTAGTGGCTCAAAAATCACAAAAACCTAAGGGGAAATATGTATATAATAATCAACTCATTCACCCCTGAAACTTTGTAATGGACTATTCCGATCCTGGAATTGGAAGAGTTCAAATGTGTCTTCAGGAGTGAATGAATCAACTATTTACATTTCTTTGGTTGGGAACAATTCAAAGCCTAGATCAGTTTAACAGATATCAATGGGAAATGTGGACAGCTAAGTTTGTCTTGCATTGATAGATGAGAAAATTATATGAATGTCATCTTCTTGACAAGGGTTCTAATTGTTAGGATTTGCGGACATCATTAAATGTGTTGATCAGATTTATGTATGCCTCATCCACTGGTCACTGTCGACAAATGTCCGAAACTCTAGCCAGAAAGGGTCATCATTTTCAACACATCCAGTTGCTCAAGTATGTACATAATTAACTTCTTAATTTTGTTTTTGACAAAATCATAATCTGTAGCCTACTATCAGTAACCATGTCGTTGGGTACTGTGAAATGATGTGAAAATCATGACTTCTTTCTTCTTGATAATGTTTCATATTTTGATGGTTCACTGATATCATTAATCTAGACAATCACTGATAATGAATAATTTCTATTATATATGAAATTTTATAATTTTGTTGTTTAAAAAACTCAAACACGGAAGCCCTTTCATCTTTGTGTTAATCAGTATAGTGTATGCTTCATCCACTGGTCACTGCGGACCAATGTCTGAGACTCTAGCCTGAAAGGGTCATCATTTTCATCACATCTAGTTGCTCAAAAATCACAAAAACCTAAGGGGAAATATGTATATAATAATCAACTCATTCACACCTGAAACTATGTGATGGACTATTCCGATCCTGGAATTGGAAGAGTTCAAATGTGTCTTCAGGAGTGAATGAATTAACTACTTACATTTCTTTAGTTGGGAACAATTCAAAGCCTAGATCAGTTTAACAGATTTCAATGGGAAATGCGGACAGCTAAGTTTGTCTTGCATTGATAGATGTGAAAATTACATGAATGTCATCTTCTTGACAAGGTTTCTAATTGTTAGGATTTGCGGACATCATTAAATGTGTTGATCAGATTTATGTATGCCTCATCCACTGGTCACTGTCGACCGATGTCCGAAACTCTAGCCTGAAAGGGTCATCATTTGCAACACATCCAGTTGCTCAAGTATGTACATAATTAACTTCTTAATTTTGTTTTTGACAAAATCATAATCTGTAGCCTACTATCAGTAACCATGTCGTTGGGTACTGTGAAATGATGTGAAAATCATGACTTCTTTCTTCTTGATAATGTTTCATATTTTGATGGTTCACTGATATCATTAATCTAGACAATCACTGATAATGAATAATTTCTATTATATATGAAATTTTATAATTTTGTTGTTTAAAAAACTCCAACACGGAATCCCTTTCATCTTTGTGTTAATCAGTATAGTGTATGCTTCATCCACTGGTCACTGCGGACCAATGTCTGAGACTCTAGCCTGAAAGGGTCATCATTTTCAACAATTTTCACGATGCAAAATACTACTTCTGATAACACAGAATTTGACAAAATTTGTGGCATTATTTAATGTGTTGATCAGAGCTGTGTATGCCTCATCCACTTGTCACTGTCGACCAATGTCCGAAACTCTAGTCTGAAAGGGTCATCATTTTCAACACATCCAGTTGCTCAAGTATGTACATAATTAACTTCTTAATTTTGTTTTTGACAAAATCATAATCTGTAGCCTACTATCAGTAACCATGTCGTTGGGTACTGTGAAATGATGTGAAAATCATGACTTCTTTCTTCTTGATAATGTTTCATATTTTGATGGTTCACTGATATCATTAATCTAGACAATCACTGATAATGAATAATTTCTATTATATATGAAATTTTATAATTTTGTTGTTTAAAAAACTCAAACACGGAAGCCCTTTCATCTTTGTGTTAATCAGTATAGTGTATGCTTCATCCACTGGTCACTGCGGACCAATGTCTGAGACTCTAGCCTGAAAGGGTCATCATTTTCAACACATCCAGTTGCTCAAGTATGTACATAATTAACTTCTTAATTTTGTTTTTGACAAAATCATAATCTGTAGCCTACTATCAGTAACCATGTCGTTGGGTACTGTGAAATGATGTGAAAATCATGACTTCTTTCTTCTTGATAATGTTTCATATTTTGATGGTTCACTGATATCATTAATCTAGACAATCACTGATAATGAATAATTTCTATTATATATGAAATTTTATAATTTTGTTGTTTAAAAAACTCAAACACGGAAGCCCTTTCATCTTTGTGTTAATCAGTATAGTGTATGCTTCATCCACTGGTCACTGCGGACCAATGTCTGAGACTCTAGCCTGAAAGGGTCATCATTTTCATCACATCTAGTTGCTCAAAAATCACAAAAACCTAAGGGGAAATATGTATATAATAATCAACTCATTCACCCCTGAAACTTTGTAATGGACTATTCCGATCCTGGAATTGGAAGAGTTCAAATGTGTCTTCAGGAGTGAATGAATTAACTACTTACATTTCTTTAGTTGGGAACAATTCAAAGCCTAGATCAGTTTAACAGATTTCAATGGGAAATGCGGACAGCTAAGTTTGTCTTGCATTGATAGATGAGAAAATTATATGAATGTCATCTTCTTGACAAGGTTTCTAATTGTTAGGATTTGCGGACATCATTAAATGTGTTGATCAGAGTTATGTATGCCTCATCCACTGGATAATAATCAACTCATTCTCCCCTGAAACTTTGTAATGGACTATTCCAATCCTGGAATTGGAAGAGTTCAACTGTGTCTTCAGGAGTGAATGAATTAACTACTTACATTTCTTTAGTTGGGAACAATTCAAAGCCTAGATCAGTTTAACAGATATCAACGGGAAATGTGGACAGCTAAGTTTGTCTTGCATTGATAGATGTGAAAATTATATGAATGTCATCTTCTTGACAAGGTTTCTAATTGTTAGGATTTGCGGACATCATTAAATGTGTTGATCAGAGTTATGTATGCCTCATCCACTGGTCACTGTCGACCAATGTCCGAAACTCTAGCCTGAAAGGGTCATCATTTTCAACACATCTAGTGGCTCAAGAATCACAAAAACCTGAGGGGAAATATGTATATAATAATCAACTCATTCTCCCCTGAAACTTTGTAATGGACTATTCCAATCCTGGAATTGGAAGAGTTCAAATGTGTCTTCAGGAGTGAATGAATTAACTATTTACATTTCTTTGGTTGGGAACAATTCAAAGCCTAGATCAGTTTAACAGATATCAATGGGAAATGTGGACAGCTAAGTTTGTCTTGCATTGATAGATGTGAAAATTATATGAATGTCATCTTCTTGACAAGGTTTCTAATTGTTAGGATTTGCGGATATCATTAAATGTGTTGATCAGAGTTGTGTATGCCTCATCCACTGGTCACTGTCGACCAATGTCCGAAACTCTAGCCTGAAAGGGTCATCATTTTCAACACATCCAGTTGCTCAAGTATGTACATAATTAACTTCTTAATTTTGTTTTTGACAAAATCATAATCTGTAGCCTACTATCAGTAACCATGTCGTTGGGTACTGTGAAATGATGTGAAAATCATGACTTCTTTCTTCTTGATAATGTTTCATATTTTGATGGTTCACTGATATCATTAATCTAGACAATCACTGATAATGAATAATTTCTATTATATATGAAATTTTATAATTTTGTTGTTTAAAAAACTCAAACACGGAAGCCCTTTCATCTTTGTGTTAATCAGTATAGTGTATGCTTCATCCACTGGTCACTGCGGACCATGTCTGAGACTCTAGCCTGAAAGGGTCATCATTTTCAACAATTTTCACGATGCAAAATACTACTTCTGATAAAACAGAATTTGACAAAATTTGTGGCATTATTTAATGTGTTGATCAGAGCTGTGTATGCCTCATCCACTGGTCACTGTCGACCAATGTCCGAAACTCTAGCCTGAAAGGGTCATCATTTTCAACACATCTAGTGGCTCAAGAATCACAAAAACCTGAGGGGAAATATGTATATAATAATCAACTCATTCTCCCCTGAAACTTTGTAATGGACTATTCCAATCCTGGAATTGGAAGAGTTCAAATGTGTCTTCAGGAGTGAATGAATTAACTATTTACATTTCTTTGGTTGGGAACAATTCAAA